TTTTTTAAGGCTTTTATTACTTCAGTGACTTCGTCGACTGTTACAGCATCTAAGGGGTCGCCTGCAGGTGGTATTGTAGACTTAATTTCGACTTCCGCTTCGACCTCTGCAAAGTGAGTGGGATCTATAGTTTCGCTAGAGAGAATACATTGGCTCTTTAAACTGTCTGCGATGCATTCGGTCTTTTCAGAGTCATCAAAGGCGCGATCGGGGTTACCTGGCCTAATGAGAGGCGGCATAGGTGAGGACTGTTCTACTTTCCGAGCTCGGGACAACTGCCAGAAGGCAGTTTGAGATGGATCGATATCCTCCAATAGATTATCCCACTTATCATGTATAAAATCTTTAATACTCTGTTTCACCTCGTTTTGGAGGTTTTTGTCTATTGTAGATAATTTGTTGTCTATAGTAGATAGTGATCGTATTGTCTTAGGAGCGCGTTTTTCACTCGGAAGCTTCATCTATCGATTGTTCGACGCATGAATCTTACGAGAGTACTCTTCAATTGTAGAGGTGAGATGGGCCGATAGGGCACTAATCGCCTCATTGGCCTCCTCTGGCGACTCTATCTTATCTGGGATTTTGTCTAAGTACTGTTAGGTCGTAAACTCAAATTTGCCCTCGAGCTTATGCCAGTCCACGATGGTTTTGGTCTGAAGGACCTCATCTGCAGATGAGGTCCTGCAGGCTGTCCTCATCTGGACTGGTCTATGGTCCGAGTTGTGTTCTAATATGGTTTCAATTGATGATATCGACAAACAGATATTTTTGAGTCAAGGACTTTCGGCTGTTGACTGGGTAGCGAGTTGGAGTCTCAGGCGCTATAACTTCGAAGTTTAGTTTAAGATCGAACAAAACATTACTATTGTGATTGCTTGTACGCAAGTTCCAGGAGGATTGCTTACTATTAAGGTCTCCAGCTATTAAGCACTGAAGCCTAGATTAAGTAATTCTACAGTCTGATTCGGCTCTGCGTTTGAGTGGCAGTAGATATGCCGATGCGATCGCAGCTCGGAAGTTCAACTGTCTCGGGCGTGTGGGAGCAGTCAGTGGTGCTGTGGTCACCTAGGCATCAGTGGCTCTAGCCAACGATGCCCCTGCTTCGGGGGGCTTCAAATGTTAGATTGCAGATGCGCGCGAACGTTAAATATCTCCTTGCCTTCCGGATATAGGTCCAAAATGACAAGGAACAAATATAAGAACCGTGTTTGTCGGTCTGGTGGTGCATGGATTTGGACGGTCTCGAGCTCTTTGGGGAGTCCGCGGAAGACTACATGAGGTAACAATCATCCGGGAGGTCATAGGTGTGGAAACTGACTCGTTGGGCGCGCAGATGACACGTTGGGAGGTAGTCATACTGCGGAAATCCTACGAAAATTCAAATGAACTGACCGGTGTTTTAAACCTTCAGGAAGTAAATTTTCTTGGAGTTTAACCAATTGGAAAGGTTGTTTCACTATGGCTTTATCTTGTTCTATGACAGGTGGTGGCGGTTTTTCCCTACGTGCAGCAGGGGACCCATTTGCTGTGGGCTTGGCCGCGGTTTTAGGGGGTTGGGCGCCCGTCACGGGGGCTGGCTTTTTTGCCGCAGTCGTGGTAAGGGACGAAGGGACCGAGTTAGGCTCGGCTCGCTTTTTGGGGGCTGCGCGTTTGCGCTCTTTGTCCTGGACGAGGGTGAATTCTTCGTGCTTAGGCAGTACATGCGTGTTGGTCTCCATGTCGGAGCGTGATTCAGCATCCGAGAAGACCGGAGACGGGCTGCAGGTAGACATAGCGGAGTGCACGGGGGACGCGGCGACTTATATTCTATCCATGGACACGGGGGTCATAGGTACGGGTACTCTGCGACAAAGAGTCGTCGATCCGCACGGTAGAACGATCGGTAGGGGGCAAGACACGCTGAGTAGACGGGCCGGCTAGGGGCATGGGCCTGGGTGCAGCTTGGGCGCGGGCTCGGGTGCGGGACATGCATGGCGCTGTTCAAGAAACACAGCGAAAATGTCGGGGCAGGCTCGACAGAAAAAGTCGGCGAGTTTGTCGATCGTTATCGACGCCATTTTTTTACTATGCTAAGAAGAGTGCAGATGATTATCATTGTACCTCGTTCCCCCATCTTTCGGCGGGGAGCTTGATACACATTATATGTAGATGTGTGTCTACGAAAAACACTTACACACCTAGTGCGTTGGTACGCTAGGGTGCGTACCTAGCTATTGCCTAATGCAACAAGCAATACAAAAATTAAAACGGTGGCTGCCTCTGAGGCGGCTGATGTGTTTCACTCTACTTACGGTTACCACGAAGCCAGGAAGGAGAGTTACGCACAAAACGCACTTAACACCACAACAAGCGTCCGATATACTTTACAAAGATACAGTGAAACTGCTGTCTCCCAGGACAGCGTGTTTCGCGCACAACAATGAGAGCACCAAGGCAGCAACCAAATACAAAGAGCCAAGTAATTCAGTGTATTCCAATGAATATGTGGTTAAAGTAATTCATGAGCAGGAGCAATGAGTGTGGGGTGACGGGAGTGAACTCAACTGACACTTCCGGAGTCTACAAAACCAAAGCGCAGAATGATCAAATGATATTAATGTATGCTCATTATCAAAAAAGGCTACATATTGGGATGGGCAACTACGGAACCCTAACTCTACATTGTGTGTTGCCCGACAAGCACTTGGCCAGTTTTATTACGCTTGGATTCTGTTATGCCGCCACTACACTAAATCTATACAAATAAATAAAACTGAAGTGTCTGTTTGTAATGTCAATATTAAAGCTTTTTACTAAATGCATATGAAAGTATATACGGTACTAATAACAAAAATATAATTTTTAAAGTTTTGTCTGTCTGTCTGCCTGTCTGTCCTTCTGTCTGTCTGTTTATTCCGGCTAATCTCCGAAACGGCTGAACCGATTTTGACGGGATTTTCACTGGTAGATAACTGATGTCACAAGGAATAACTTAGGCTACTTTCATTTTAGAAAAAGAATTAGGGTTCTGCTCAAATAAAAGTAAAACCACAAATAACACGCGAACGAAGTCGCGGAGAACAGGTAGTTAGTCATAAATGCAGAGTAATCTATTTAATGGTCCGATCAGATAAAGACTACATATTGGACTTTGAAATTAAAAAAAAATGTTACTTACGTTATATGCATCCCAAATTAGTCAGATCGAAAGAGGAAGGAACACGCTTCTAATATTAGCGTGAAATAGCAGCATGATGTTGTAGCATATCCACGAGTACTGACAATCTTTTTAACGGTGACGAGACTTTATACATTAGTCATCATTGGTGCTATATATATATATATATATATATAGAGTGGATTTTTAGCAAATCATTATGAGACACTGGAAGTACATCCATTTAATATAAATAGTATTTACATTAAATGGATATGGTTTCATAAAGTTCGAAGTCACGAAGTATTATTTCAAAACCACGAAAATTATCTTATATGTTATATAAGATAATAACATATAAGATAATTTTCTTATATACCTACATTGTCATTCCACAACAGTGATTGATTGTACGACGTCTACTCAGGTGATGTCAGCACATCCATTTTCGTCACACGGCTAATTCTTTTACTAGCAGAGGCTTTGATTAAATATTTATGGCTCGAAGGTTTTGAATTAACCCGACATGAATAACCTCACTTTGACTTGAGGACACAAAAGAATATTTTTTCTACCTTTTACTTGTTGGCTTGTTGTTTTTTTCTAAGTCACTATCATCATAATTATATCACTTCAAGTGTGCTGTTAATATTAAGCCTCCCCCAAAGTAATGCCACAAGTCTTTAGCTACTTGCATCCATCGAGTTCCAGCATGTCTCACCAGGTCGATACTCCATCTAGTGGGGCGCTATCCTGCATATCGCTTACTAATACGAGGCTGTCACTCTAGAACTTCCTACCACATAGGCTAAATCCGCGCAAACAAAAGGGAAGAAAAAGTATCACATTTTCTCATTTTTGTACGTGCTTGGGCCACGCTGCTTATGATTGTATTATGATTGTAACATGAATGTGTCAGTTTGACTAGGAAATAAAAATGATCTCACAGAACACCAGCATTAAATAACAGCTTAATGTCGTTGTGTTTCTTATGGCGAGTGTAGAAAAATGTAGACCCTTTTTACTGGAAACGATGCATTCTATCTTAGTCCTCAAGGGTGACAACGCATCTGCTTTTTTATTCTTAATCGAGGGTGGTGGTCCACAGCGTAATCAAGTGGACTATTTGCTCATTTGCCATCCTTATTCTGAATTCTATATTTATATCACCTTATTCGTCAAACACCTATGAATCGTAATTAGGGGAGGTTTATACAGATTTCAACTGACAGTGGTCAGAAGTATTCAAGTAGGATACGTTATGGCTGTTTGTTCGGCAGATAGAAGAAGGTCGTTACCGTAAGGGAAATATCTAGCATCATCGCCTCTGTACAAGCATAGTTGATCTTTTGATATGGGAACAGCCAGTCTCGGTAACAGTCTTTCAATACCCTCAAAAATACCAGTTGAGCAATATGGTGTGTATTAGGGCAACATCAGCAGCCCCACTTTTGATGTTCAAATGAACTAGTAATCTCCTTGTCATCGCTGAGCAATCGATAGATACAGGCATAAAGGATTGTAGCACTACCCGTGGTAATGGTAGATTACCCAGAAAGTCAAAAATGAGGGGTTTCCAAAGTGACGGAGATCCTGAAAGCAGATATCATTGCGTAAGAAAATACAGCAGTTAAATGGAATTTGTGTTCCATTGAGTATCCAATATAGTCTAGATATGCTGCATTTAACGGATATCCAATTTGTGCATCTATCATAAAAAGTAGGTGCGGTTTCTCTCGATGTATTTAATATAAATAAAGTATATTTGTGTAGTTTCCTAAAAATGTAAACTGTAAACTGTAATAATTTTCCTTTTTGAATAAAAAGTAATGTACTACGAGTACAATAGAACAAGCGACTTAAAATGGAAGTGCATTTAGAAAGTAAGTTAAAAGCTAGTGGTTCGAATTGCTCCCGAGAGAATCTTATCTGCGCCAAACTATTTGAAAAAGCCATAAAGCTATTACTGCGATCACCTTTGGTAAGAAATTGTAATGGCTATATAAAAAAAGAAAGACGTTCACCAAAAAGATTATACAACAATTCCAGGAAAGAGTCCACTCACTCTAGCCCCTGATTTCGGGAATGTATTTTTGGTGTACACTACCTTCAGATTGAGATTTCTTTGAACCTTAATGTTGGGCGGTTCATTGATTCCAAGGCCAAAGCAACCGCAAGGTTGCTTTGTGCCCTTGATTCCTTATATAGCTACCTTATATAAAGCGCAAGTTCAGTCGCACTACTCTCATATGATATAGACTGGTGCTGCAAAATACCACAATGCTGTGCTGGGTTCAGTAGAGAGGTGTGCTAATCGGATTATTGATGACACTGTTTTGGTTGAAAGTTAAACCAAACTGTCATTTTTGAGCCGTCACAGAGTAGCCTGTCTCTTGATATTCTATAGGTTACTTTCCAGGGGTTTTGCGCAGGAATCATTTTTTTTATTATTGGGTATATGCCAGTGCTTGACTACAAATTCACCTGACGGTAATTGGTGATGCCGTGGAAGTTGGTAAATCACACTGACTTAGCTTAATAAAAGCCTATTCACTCTTACTATGAAGACACCCACATTAAACATCCACATTAAAATCGAATGGAACGGCAAATGCTCAAAAATTATTCCATTCCTTAGGTGTACCCGTAATTTATTTCTTCCCTTTCCTTTCCACTATCAGACAACCAAACGCTAAGCAGTTATCACATCCGTTGTCGACATTCGATGCATTCTAACTAAATGGTTTGCTTTGTCTTTCGTTGTGTGTACAGTAAGTAAGGGAGTGGAATAAATTGACAACGGCTGTTTTTCCATTTAATTGCAATCTAAGTGTATTGAATACACCAAGGGTAAATAGTCTTTTGTTGCAATGCGATTTATCATCTAGGTACCTTGTCATTTACTATCAGGTACGATAAAGCCTGTCTTGAAATAGTTAAAAGCATATTTTAAGTACATTCGATATTATATAAGTAAAAATAAATAGGTTTAATAATAAGTGTTCTATTTTTCTAAATTTGATGTATTTAAATAAAAATCACCCATACACTAGGATTTTCTCCTGTAACATTGGAGATAGTTTACATACTTACTGCTGCATCTCAATGTCACAACGTTATAGAGCCGTCAAAAAGCCGTTAATAAGGAACACTAAAATCAAATAATGTTAAAAGTACTAGAAATTAAATCGAAACGGTTTTTATTTTGTTAGGTTGGTATGGTACTGCTTAAAGTGTTTATTTAAATATACAACAAAAGAATTTTCTCTTGTGTCGTAAAGGCATATAACATTTTGAATTGCACATGGACAAAAGACCAGACCTGGAACAATTATTTATAGGTTATACACTTGTTCGCCGCAACCAAACGCATAGCCACTGCGCTACTGATGCGTCAATAATAACGAAAACATCTTTAACTTATGGTAAATGTTACTTATTGTTTAATGCCTAGAACTGTTTACGTCTTGTTTTAATTGCAGAACTATTCCAAACTACATCGATGACACTAACCTCCTAACTAATCTCAATTCGATGACATTCCATTTGTTATACTGACTATATTCGGAGATCATCAAACCTCATAGCCACAATTATTGTTTGTCGATATTTGGTGCATTCCATTACAATGTTAAAACCATTTTGTTACTAAGCCCGATACCAAATGAAATATTTCGTATCGTTTAGTTTCCTGAACGTTACAAGATAAATTGATTGAGAAAGAATGTCCAATGGCATTAAGTCCACATATATCCTACTATAAATAAATAAGTAAGTAGAACGATTAACGTTAGAAAGATCTAGTAATTTTCGATAGGGATGGTATACTACCACGGACGTTACAGAAGTAAAATTCCGGTAAACAAAAACCACGTAAAAGGTGTAAGAAATCTACCAGAAAATCTCTAATCATTGGAGTAGTACGTACGACGTACTAGAAGATACGCTATGATTTGGTTGTTGCAACACGTTTTAGTGTCAAAGGGCTCTAACTTACTTAACCTTTGCAATAAATAGGTATTTTAACTCTTTTTATGCGCCGCGCACCACCACACAAATCTTGTTTCAAAGTATGTTTTAGTATATAATACATAATATTACTTCCATAACTCTAAGAGCCAATTCAAGCGTAGCAAACTTTTGCGTAAATGGAAAGGCCCATATCCAGCTACTGGCCTTAACGGGCTGATAAAGAAGAAGAATAGAATTATTTGCATACTACGTATATGTCCCACTGTTGAGCACTGGCCTCCTCTATAATTTTGGAACAGATATGAAGTTAATAAAATTGGCCATCCATCGTGCCATCATGCCATTTCTTCAACCCATTTTTAGGCTTAATGAGAGCACATTTTTTAATAGATGGTTTCCTTACGCCGTATTCCTTAACTTATATAATTTTTACGCAATAATTCTATGCCTTAACTGTTACTTGAATAATCAACACTTGAATTTGAATTGATAATTTTTATCGTTAATTCACTCACACAAGCTAAAAGTAAATACGACTGGCCTTGAGTAATTGAATATTAATATCTGTCATAATATTGTGGTTTTATAATCTATTGTACAAATTATGTACACATCCCTTTTCGACATTCCTTGTGAAATAATATTATTTTTGCATAAAAAGCTTGTCTGAAAATAGCTTCCAGGGCGATAAGCAAGCTAACTAAGGTAATAAGATAAGTATTGATATACAACAAAAATGTGTTGATTGATAGATTGTTTTTTATATAATAACGACAAACGAGTACTGATAGTAAAGGAGGCTGTGGCCGATATAACTTTAAATTTAGTTTCGATTAAGAATCAAAATGCAAATTAATTGTGACCCTTGAGCACTAAGATAAAATGTCTCGTTTCCATTAAAAAAGGTCTCTGGTTCTCTACAAACACACATTGTATTTTATTTTTGAACACTCTGACAACAAATCGACATATCGTATTATTTGTTGGAAACACAAAAGCGACGAGTTCTTTTCGTGATACCTTGTCTTAAAAAACAAAATATCAGAACAATATAGACAGAAAATTTGCCTGTCCTATCGGAGACGGTGACATTTACTATCACTGACAAAAGTAATATACTATAGAGAAATATTAACTCAGATATTTTTAGCTACGCTTCCAATAGTGAAAAAAGTATAAAGATCATGATATTGATATATATATATATATATATATATATATATATATATATATATATACACATATATATATATATAGACTACCTTGTGATCTATTGATCGTAAACGCGACTGCTGATCATGAGGTCCCGGGTTAGAATGCCTGGTCAGACCGAAAACAAAAAATTGGTTTTTTTTATCAAGAAAGTTGGATTCACCAAGTGACTTCAATCGTAAGTATAAAACAGTGTGCTTGTCTAACATGGTAATCAAAGTAAAATTCCCTACCAAGGACCAACAGTGTAAAACCCATCAATCTAAGCACGGGTACTGTTAAAAAGTAAAAGTTTGGGGGACGTAGTTGCTAGCGTCCGTCGGAAATACTTGAAATCTGACTCCCTACACGTGTCTCCCGCTTAGTCCTAAACGAGCAGCACCAATTCCGGTGGTAGGTATTGGCCGCTGGCTTTTCGGTTACCACTCACCAATGCAAAGTTTTGTCGCCAAAATAAATGACGTTGCTGTGTTCCGGCATGATGCTTGGTAAAGCCATATGGAGAATGGGTCTGAACAGTAGCGTTATGTGTGTGAACTGGATGCGAAGTGTCAGTTGTTGCTATATCGGGTGCTTGGTCATCGAGGATAGCGGGATTCGAAACACGATGTTCCACTGGCCGACTGCAAGTAGTTGGTGGCCTAATTAGTAAAATTAGTAAATTAGCAACTCATGAAAGGCTGCCCCGCTAACTAGCGAAATGTCCCAGGGTGGCTCGATCGCGCCGGTACCCAATAGCAATTTATGGAGGGGGTTTAGGGGTCCCCGCAGTCCTCAGATCAAGTTCCTATGGGCGAAGCAACTCTGGTATTATCGTTTGGTTGCTAATGCAATGTCTCGTTCAACTGCCATTCTCCGTCCTTATTCAGTCTTAACACTTAATATGTATTTTAAAAAGAAAAGTATAGCTAAACAGCAGTTGCACGTCCTGTCATTAAAAGTGCACCTCACTAATATCCGAGGATTGCACTGTAATCTCAGAGCAGTCCATCACCATCATCAGGGTGAGAAGCCGATACTACTTTTCTTGACGGCGACACAAATTGGATGTCCATTGAATACAGCGTACCTTGGCTATCCTGGATTTTCCCTGGAGCACAAATTCCATCTACGTACCGGAGTCTGTGTGTACATCCACAATGACATCTGCTTCCAACTTCCTGTGGCAACGAACGCCGGTGTTACTCAGGGGTAAGTTCTCTACGCAACTCTCTTCCTGCTGCACATTAATGATCTGCTTATGCCCGGTATCTATGGGTATGCAGACGATAGCACAGTTGTGAAGAAATATTAATCAAGTCTTCGGGCCAGTCGGGATCGAATTCAGCCCGAAAGAAAGCTGTGGTAGAGCATGTGAATATCTCCTACTACAGGTAGTCTCCGAATGGGGCAATGCCAATCTTGTGAAATTCAAGCCTCCAAAACACAAGCGCGTCTCTTCACTGCAAAAAGAAGCCAGCTCATCTTGCCTCCTTCTATCCGAAATGTACACTGGAATACAGCACCCACATTCAGCTGTTAGGGGTTGAGATATCCTCAAGTCTGAACTTTGGGCGGATTATTGAGTCCAAGGCCAAAGCAGCTGCAAGAAAGCTAGGAGTCCTTGCAAAGGTGCGGCGATACTTCACGCCGAGACAGCTGCTTACTTTATATCAAGCGCAAGTCCGGTCGTGCATAGAGTATTGCTGCCATATATGGGATGGTGCTGCAAAATGTCACCTTGTAGCTTTGAACTTAATGAAAAGACATGCTAGGAAGCTTATTGGTGACCCAAATTTGCTTAAAATGTGCGCAAAGTAGCCTTTCGGTTTTCTACAGAATGCATTTAAAAGAGTGTGCGCAGGAATTGCATAATTTAATTCCTCTCTCTCCATTCCACCATCAGACAACCAGACCTTCTGCCAGTGTCCACCCTTTCGTTGTTGACTTACCACGCATTTGTACCAAATGGTTTGCTACATCGATGGTTATGCGTACAGCGAAGGAGTGGAATAAGTTGCCAGCATTTGTGTTTTCATCCGATTACAATGTAGGTGTCTTGAAGGCAAGAGTGAGTAGGCTTTTGTTAAGTCATTGCGCTTCACCATCTTAGGCTACATCACCACTTACTATCAGGTGGGATTGTAGTTAAGCGCTGGCTTATAATAGTATAAAAAAGTTAAAGTTACAGCCTATAATACGTCCCACCACTGGGCACAGGCCTCCTCTCATTTCTGAGGAAGGTTTAGGGCAAGCAAATATCCGCCGCGCTGCCCCAATGCGTGTTGGCAAATTCAACATTTAATTAGTCCCGTACCATTGCAACTCTTTGAGAAACAGTAATACTTTCCGTATTTCAGAACTCAAGATAAATAAATCCGAATCCAATATAAGAAGATAAACTTGGAACAAAAAATTGAATTTTAATAAAAAGTAAAATCCGATTTCAATGAACTAAAAAGTTGATGCTGCGGCCTATAGACATCTACGTTTCCCTTCTTTCCTATTCTTTTTCGATTAAGAATCAAAATGCAGATTCATTTTGATTCTTCCCCTGAAGACTAAGACAGAATGCCTCGTTTCGAGCAAAATGGGTCTTTGGTTTCAAAACTAACCATACAAATCACAGCAGTATTTAGCTGCTATTTATTTTAGGCCGGTATTCTGTGACAGCGTGACCTTCCCCTATCAATTCGTGCAACAACCCTAATATAGCTGAAGCATGACACTACCACCAGTAAAAATAAAATGTTAGTTATTTTATTTAGACATCTTAAGTTTCTTAGATAAGTATATGCTTATAATAGAAACTGGAGCTACGAAGACTATTGATATGGTGCAAGTATAACTTCTTATAATTATGTCTGTATTAATGCCCTTAAGGTAACTATGTCATGTTAAGACAAATTATTAATTATGCTTTAGAGATTAAAAAAATAAAACGATTTACAGCTTAAAATGATAGGGATTTTAGTCAATTAACCATTTTATATTAAATTTTGAAGAGCACTAGTGCAAGAATTATTAAAATTTATAATAATCTACAGTAGAACGCCGATTAACCGAATCGCCAATTATCCGAATCGGTATTAAGCGTAATATAAAAAATTAAAACCAAGTACTATAATTAAGTAATGTAATTTTTGTTATGTTTTGTTGTACAAGTTGTAACAAGTTGGAACTCGCTGGAGTCCAGATATATTTCAACTGTTATGGTTGAAAGCTAGAGGCAAGACACTACATGTTTTGCATCTTCTAGTCTACTACAGCATTATTAATAAACACAGACTCGAGTAAGATTAACTTTACTCCTAGTTTAAAGTTTAAAATAACTAATTTTAGTATTAATAAACATAGAGTAAGGAAGGAGTAAAAGTTAAAAGTTAATCCTTGGCGTTACATAGTTTAACGACGGAGTAAGCATAGATTGGGCGCGTATTTTGACGTTTTGTAAAACTTTACACATTGTAGCTGTCTAAGTTCGTATTTAGTTATTTCTATTAATATTTGTTACTTTAGTTCATTGTCAACAACCTCAAGATAGATAGAGATTATTTCATTGATGATATGAGAATGATAGATGAAATTAATGAAGTGGTTAATCAGATTCCATTAATGAGACGTGTAAAATTTTATAAAATTCATAAGAATCTACTGGAAGAACTTCAAGAAGCCGAATTTAAAATTAAATACAGATTTTCTTGCGGTACTGCCGTTTTCCTTATTGACATGGTGAAAAATGATTTGGCCGGTGATTCAAGAGGTGGATTTATACCACCCCATCTGAAAATTTTGACTGTCATAAGAACATGGGCCCGTGGAGAGGTAATTACTATGTACCTATTATCAATTTTATAGGTTTTTAACTTCATTTATATTAACATCTCCCATTATCAATAGTTTTTACAATTAAGTGTATAATTGTTAGTTGTTATGATTTCTAAATCAATTACTTTTGTTCTCAACAGATACAAGATGATGCAGGAGATCTAAGTGGAATGAGTCAGCCAACAATATCACTTGTATTCAAACAAGTTGCTTTAGCACTAGTAGCACAAAGAGCACAATGGATTAAAATGCCACAAAGTAATGTGGAGCAGAACCATGTGATTGCAGGTTTTTATTCAGTATGTGGATTTAGACAAGTGATAGGGGCTATTGATTGCACACATATTCGAATTCCGAAAGTCGGTGGAAATATCGGACAATACTACATAAACAGGAAAGTATACAGTTCAATAAATGTACAAGTAAGTTTTATAGCACCTGTCTAGCCCATGTTTGCCATTTATTTACCTAGATATATCTTAGACAGATTCATTATAATCTCCTTAATCTATTATTTCATATTAACAAAGCTATCAGTACTTTGTTCCAGGTTGTGTCAAATGCTAATTTAGAGATCATGGATATAGTGGCACATTGGCGAGGCAGCATACATGACTCAAGAATATTTAATGAAAGTCACATAAAACAAAGGTTTGACCAGTCAGAATTTAAAGGTAGGCTTCTCGGAGATTCTGGTTATGCTTGTATTCCTTAGATATTCACTCCTATCCTGCGTCCCAATACACAAAAGGAAGAAATGTACAACCGGTCGCACATTAGGACCCGAAACACTATAGAACGATGCTTTGGAGTGTGGAAGCAAAGGTTTCGGTGTTTACAACTAGGACTTAATACAAAATTAGTGAATACAAAACTATATATTGTTGCATTGGCAATACTACACAACATTGCAATGCACAAGCAAGATCTGCTTGAGGATGCAGTAGAAGATTATGGAAATGTTCCAGTCACAGAATTAGTAAATAACTCTCTAAGAGGAAATTCAGTACGGGCAGCATTTATTAATGAAAATTTTAAATAAATAATACAATATTTGGATCTACAAAATAAAAATAAAAAAAATTTCACCGCCGAAACTATGTATGTATATTTAACTTATTTAATTTTGTAATTTAGAGGCCAATTCTGGCTTACAAATATCAACAAATAGATAAGTAAATATATAAGACAGTTATTATAATAATAATTTTTGATTTCAGACAATACTCTATATGAGGGATATAAAGGATATAAAGGAAAAATTTCTGCTGCGTCATTGTCAACTGTCAAAGCATGATAACTACATACAATTTTTATCAATATGCAATAAATCCAGGGAAGTAATGTGATAATATTTCATTTTTAGAGTAAAGTGCTTTTATTTAGGCCGTAAATGATTGTTTCAGGGAAAGATGCAGGGTACAGCACATTTCAAGTCAATATGAAGCTATGTAATATAAAAACTTTTGAATGATTTATTAAACTTTATTAAACTAAATTTGTATAAAAAGGGTTATGATAATATTGAAGAATTTATGGATCATAATAACCCCTGGAAATGAGGTGATCCCTACCAAGTTATTTCTAATTTGTTGTGTTGTTAATTTGTGTAACATACATGATTGTAAGCTGTTATTTTAAAAAAAAATTCTCGCTGGGTTTCTTGCTGGTTCTTCCCAGGACAGAGGTTTTTTTTCGAACCAATGGTAATTAAACAAAAGATTGACTTCAATAAGTATTATTTATAATCTATATTGAATAAAAATATTTCTGTTTCTGTTTCTGTTTTATTTTTTAAGGATAAATATATATATTTTTTCTTCTCTATATTAATTTTGCTCTTCACACACTTTTCTTATTTCTAAATTATCTCTTTCGAGTATTGCACATTTTAGTTATTATTTACGTATTTCCATTTTAATTGCATGTTCTCCCATTTTAATGGCATGTTCCTCTTCAGCCATTTCCAAACGTCTCTTTGTTATTCCTCTTTCAACATTTTGCTATGGCTTATCATGTTGTTTATATAGTCATCATGGTTCTGTAAATGAAAACCAGTTATTAAAAAATATTACTGTTGATAAACATAACATACACTAAATAAACAGAAAAACAATAATTACTTACATAATTAAATAGAATAGGAATGACTGATGAATGAATGAAGTGAGGAATTAGTCTTCGAAAATGTTATAAGCAGTATAACAGTATGTATGTATACATTTGCTAAGAAACTAAAGAATAAAAATGTACTCACAATCCCATCTGAATCATATATATTATGATTCCTCAACACCTCTGCAGGATTCAACAAATCTTTGATTTCTATTACTCCATCATTTGGAGTTGCAGGTCTTGCCCCACCACCTGTTTTATTCAATTCTTTTTTGTAGGTGTTGTATTTCTTCAGAGCATTTACCTTCATAGTTTTCCAATGTATTTTCAGCTGACTTAATTGACGATGTCGGCTATTTAACTCATTAAACCTGTAAGTACAGAAGATGAACCGAAAACAACATGATGAACAACACGTAACGCGTATTTTTCAACCATTTTCAACTCTTGTCAAGTTGTCAAACTCAAAATATTGCCTGTCACTGCCAATAATATCATCATCAAGCATTGAGTTCATTCACCAAATTCACCAATCATTCACTGACTCACTCATTTTACTTAATCACAGAGTACTTTTGCATTAAGGAAATACTTAATCACGGCTTAAGGAATATATTGTTAGTACGAGGTTACTCCATGTTTATTAATAACATTGTAATAAGGTAGTTAATACTCAGTTACTCTGAGATTAACTAGTACAAGTGTAACTGCTAATTAAGCTTGGAATAAGCAATTTTTATTAATAAGGCTGTATGTCTAATTTAGTCCAGTGCACTATTTACGTATTGTAGAACTGCGTGGTAGAGCCATGCTGCAGCTATATTAATATTATAGTTGTATCACGAATGGGTCGGCTCGACCGGAGAAGGACCACGCTCTCACAGAATACCAGCGTAAAATAGCAGCTTAATGCTGCTGTGTTTCGTATGGTGAGTGTAGAGAACCGGAGACCCATTTTACTGGAAAAGAGGCATACTATCTTAGTCCTCACGGCTGACAACGCATCTGCATTTTAATTCACAAAAGAAGATAGATGTAGATGTCTATGGGCCACAGTAACCACTTACCATCAGGTGGACTGTGTGCCCGTTTGTCAACTTTATTCTATAAAAAAAACTGTGTTTGTTAAACTTAATAAAGTTTATTCCAGTGTGTTCGTTTTTCTTTATTACATACCAGTCTATGTCCGATTATACGAATTTTCAATTATCCGAATCGACCCCGGTCACAATTAATTCGGATAATCGGCGTTCTAATGTATAACAACCGTGTAAGTAGTGGTGGAAGTAGCGGTGTAATAATATCCACTACTCTTTATCGTTCTGTGGATGTCGTAGGAAGTGACAGAGCAATACAAACCAGGAGATAGGTAGCAGCCGCTAGTAATAACATCAAGAAAATTTAAAACAGCGGTTACAAACAACCCTGGCACCTGCCACGCGTGGCATTTCTTAAAAATATTTCTCTTATAAAGTAATCTATGTAGGAGCCCTTTGTTCAGCAATGCAATTTTGATAGTCAAATAAATAATTATATAAATTTGCCTTGAAATTTAGCTTCAGAGAATCTAACATCTTATTTCGTCCGTGGTTGTCGTAAGAGGCGACTATGGGAATCTCCAGATTTTATGATTCCCGGTGAATGTGGGGGATAACCATGTTGTTTATTTCAGACATTGAAAAGTCAGATTGGCAACGGGCATCATCGTCAAAGCTTCAAGACGTCTAGTACTACGATTTTCAATCTGTTTGCCAATAAGGTTAATTATCGCCCACATGCCCATTTTCAGCTTCAAGCGAAGACACAACGAATAAGTAGAGCAATAAAAATATAAGAATGTAAGTAAAATAATAATAGAGACAACAATATGATTTATTAAAACTCACTCACTAAATTTCGATTCCAGTCATGAATGAAAAATATTCCTCCGCGTTCCTATGGATTATCATAAAAAGGCCGTTGTAGAGAACATAAAACTGTTACATTGTATCGAAATTGTCAAAAGTCTTCGATAAAAGAAAAATTCTTTAAGAAAAATGAATAGTATCCGGATATTATATCCTGTTATATATATATAAAAAATGTTTTAGAATTTTTGTCTACAGTGCTAAAGAGTGCTACAGAGAACCACGCTACGGAAAAGTGTTACAGAGTTACGTAATAAATTTATTGACCCAAGCAGATATCTTCTTGGAACACCACAACTCCAATAATAATTTACTAAAATAATATTTCAACTTTTCTTTATAAAAACACAATTTCATAGGTAAAATTGTCCTCCAAACCGAGTTTAGGTCACGGTGGCCGGAACTAACAGACACCAGCCATCTGCGCGAGACAGGATTATAGTGCACCACACGCACCTAGTGCAAGTACATGTGCACTCCCTATTCTCTCACTCTCACAGTCCTCTGGAACGGCAAACCGATACGACCGGAGAAAGATCAAACGCAAGACCAGCGGTTTTACATTCTTTCCGAGGCACGGCTGCTACTAAAAAATTGCTTCAAATTTGTGATTTTAATAAACACTAATTATAAATTAATTAATGTGCTACTTACAAAAACCGACTAGTTTCGGTCGGTCACAAAAATGAAGCGGACTGGTTATCGCATTACTTAATCTCCTCTGACGGTGGTCGCTGCCGGCGCCATACACACGTATTTGCTAAACTATATTTTCATATCGCTATCTATCATAAAATATATATCTAGAATTTCCCAATGTCTTTTAACACGCTTTTGTTAGCTTCGCGTGTGTCTATCTATGTATGTTACGGAATATTTTTAATGTAATTTTCACCAACTTGTAGACGACCGATTGACTTGAAACTTTGCACTAGTATCAAGGACCGATGTCAATACAATTAATTAATAACTTTATACTAGTTTCTTTATCAGGATCACTAGGATTAAAAATAATTAAATTATAATTATCAGTATCATCACAGCTCATAATAAATGCGTGTTGTTCAAGTTTTTTTAAACTCTTATATATTATTTTTTAGGTACATAATTTTTTTTAACTATCATTACAGGATTTACTTTACTTTACTTATCTTCACGCACAATCCCTAACGGGGTAGCCAGAGAGAACAGATCGCCAAGTGTCACGATCCTTACAAACCTCTTTCGCTTCTTTCAGATTCATTATCTTCCTCATGCATGCATGTCTAGGTATCCGAGTACTTTTGACCCTACCCTCTTCGAGCAATTTGCTCACATGGTCTTCGAAAGTTAGTCTCGGTCTACCTCGACACCTTTTAATATTAACTTTCGCGCTATATATTTTCTTCACCATTCGGTCTTCACTCATTCGCTCAACGTGCCCAAACCACCGAAGCACGCCCTTATCAATTTTTGTGATAAGGTTATCTTTCAAACCTGCCATATTGCGAATCTCTTCGTTTCGCTTTCGGTCGGCCATAGTAACGCCGCACATTTTACGAAGAGATGGCATCTCCACTGCATTCAACTTACTTTTATGCTTCTTCTGGCATACCCAGGTTTCGCTGCCATATAACAAAGTCGGTACCAACACTGCGTTATGTATTGCAAGGCGTGTACTCTTCGCTACGCCTTGCCTTTTGAATAACGCAGTCAGGGCACCATTGACTTTGTTCCCGGCAGCGACACGCCTGTCCACATCTAAATCACATCTTCCATCCCGGCTAAAAGCACTCCCCAAGTATACAATTTCATTTACCTGTTCTAGACATTCCTGATTTACCCATATTTCACACTTCGTTCTCTCTTTCCCTTTCAAATACCAGAACCTTAGTTTTATTAGCATTCAAACGGAGACCTTTAATTTCACATTCCTCTTTCATACACGTGACTAATGCCTGCAGTTCTGCCTCTGATGGTGCAATAAGCACTGCTTCATCACCATACAGCAGACAATTTACTTTTATGTCACCCAATTTCACACCCAAACAGCTATCTTTCAGCTTCTGTAAACAGCTGTCGAGATACAGTATGAACAGCCAGGAAGACATGACACAACCCAGTTTTACGCCCGTTTGGACGTTAAACATGGGTGACAGGTCATGCCCTACCCGCACACAAGCTTTACAGTCACAGTAAAGAGACTGCACAGCCCTTAGCAATCGACCATCCACACCATACCCCGGCAACAGTTCCCACATTTTTTTTCCTTACAACCTTATCAAATGCTTTCTCAAGATCCACAAAAGCACAGAAAATCTTCTGGTTAGCAGCCAGAAGCTTTTCCGTGATCATGCGGAGAGAAAACATTTGATCCGTGCATCCTCTTCCAGGTCTAAATCCGCATTGTGCCTCCCATAGAAATCTTTCCGATTTCTCTTGCATCCTACGTGTCAAAACCTTCGAGTAAACTTTACTTGCTAAACTGGTCTGGTCATTACAGGATTTACTTTACAGGATTAATTGTCCAAATGCGATAGTGTAGCTATCTAACTGATTTGTATTAATTCTTTAATTTTTGTAAAAAATTGCTGCTTTTGTGAATTCATTCAGAGTACAACAGAACAGATCCTTCTTGCGTTTTTTTTTATAAGATAAGGATGACAAACGAGCACACAGTCAGCCTGATGGTAAGTGGTTGCTGCGGCCCATAAACATCTACATCTATCCTCTGTTACAAATCAAAATGTAGATGCGCTGTCACCCGTGAGGACTAAGATGGAATGCCTCATTTCCAGAAAATAGGGCCTCCGGCCACCTGCAATCACCAAGCGAAACGCAGAGGTAAACCTCTACTTCACGCTGGTTTTCTGTGAGGTCGTGGTACTGCCCCGGTTCGAGCCGGCCCATTCATGCGACAGGAAAAGCTGCCGCGTGGCTCTACCACTGTTGCGTGTGGAGTGCACGCGTCAGAGGCGCCTCACCCAGAAGGTCCGACCGTGCGGCTCCAGGAACACATAGGTTCAGCTGCCCTGATATTTCAACATTATGAAATTTTCCTCGGAGTATTTTAAAAATATACGAGTTGAGCTCAAGTTCCTTTCTGACTCTTAGTTCATTATATACTTCCATACCTAAGACAAACAATGTTGGATACATTAAAGGATAAAATGGGTAGATAAAGTAATAACGCATATATAAATATGTAATAAATATATTCTGTACTCACTTTAGCATGATACTATACTTAGTTTCATGCGGAGCCCAGATGACTGCATTACATTGAAGTTGACTCCGTACCAATGCATTATATAAGGCGATAATCGCATTTATGTTTGTGAATCCTCGCACCGTGCGAAGCATAAATCTTAGATTAAATCATTATTATCATAACAGCCATTCGCTAATTAATTCCTAAATCACGATCCTGCCTAATCTACATCCATCAACTACCTGCATGTCCTACCATTACGCCATTCCATCTAGGTTTCCACTCTGAACATTTTCTACCCATCAGTTGTCGGTTCACCGACTAAATAAAGCCGTCTTTTTTAAATTTATATTAATTACAACTCGGGAAATTAATGTAAATAAATAAATAAAAATAATTCCTAATAAATTTTTATAAATAAACAAAAAGATGTGATCAAAATTATGTGCCGTGGAAGGAAACAAATAATTCACTTCCGCAATATCAATATTGTTTTCATAATTATATTTAGCATGCGTTTATTAAAATTAGTGTCTTTCAAATTTTTTTTTTATTATTAAATTATATTTGCCATGTAGCGGCGACGTAAGAGATTCCACTATCTCCTAATATAATAAATTGCGTATCGTAAAATGTGACAGAGGGAAATGAAATAACAGATGGGCATATAGAATATAGGATACCTACTAAAAATAATAGAAAGCTGTGGTTGCCAAGGCTAATGAAGCAATCAATCCCCCATTTGATATGCCTATCCTAATATACTAATCACCGTTAACATATAGTTACAGTAACTGACGGCTGCTTTGCGCTGGTCTTCATTGGTGACTTAACATGGTCTTTAAAACACATCCAATCCAACGATGGTTATTTCTGCAATGGAAGTGACTTCCCAATGTTTCTGTATCGAATTTAGACAGTAGTGTAGGTTCGACTTTTGTTTGAAAGAGAATCTTGTTCGTGAACCGTTTTAGCCAAGCACTAAATAATGACATGGATATTGGCCAAACGCATTGTTGTAAAACATAATTCAAATTAAATATACCAAATGTTTTGGAAAGGGTTCCAAAACGTCACATACACTGTGGCTTGGCATGTATTGACTGCGGAACCGCAAAAAACGTTTGTAGCAGTTTAATTGCGACATATCGAGTCCGCTGTATAATTAATGGGCGTAGATAGCAGAGGCTAGACTGTACGAAATTTGAAATATGGCAACCCTCGTACAGAACTAGGAATTACATCAGACGCGTTAAATTTATTAATGTGACTTCGTGCAGCTATGAAATATTTTATGTTTATAAAACTTTTAGAGAGAATTTATTTTTAAAATTAACACCTTACAATTTATGAACTTAGTTATATTATTAAATGACTTGAAAAAAGAAAGAAGTTGTCTTTTCGATCGATTTTTTAAATGAAACTTCTTTAAAGACGTGGAGGAGACATTTATAAAGTTAGTTATATTAAATACGTTGTTAAAAATTTATAACGTTATGTTTTCTTGTAACTTTTCACTGCCGGGGCTGCATAAGTATACTATTATTAATAACCTGCTTATTTAAAAAAAATAAGAATGATATGTTTTTATAGGATAGGGTGACAAACGAGCAAACAGTCCACCACGATCGTAAGTGATTGCTGTGACCCATAGATGAGATCAACGCATCTGCATTTTGATTCGTTTGCGAATCAAAATGCAGATGCGTTGTCACCCGTGAGGACTAAGATCGAATGCCTCTTTTCCAGTAAAAAGGGTCACCGGTTCTCTACACTCACCATACGAAACACAGTAGTGTTAAGCTGCTATTTTACGCTGGTATTCTGTAAGAGCGGGTCCTTCCCCGGTCGAGCCGACCCATTCCTGCTACAAACTATACTACTAATATCGCTGCAGTATGGCTCTACCACATAAAAATGTTTAAAAAAGTTTCATTTCCAACGTACACAATACTTGTTATAAACCAATTAATTTATTATTTTATTAATTGAAATAATTGACACCTCATAGGTGTACGTTTAAGTTGGAAGAAAAAATTCACCCCTAAGTATGTCGAAATATGGGATGCAATATTTATTGTAACTATTTAGACATACAGAAAACTTAAAAAATAAAACTATACGGAAGTTGAAATTGAGTTAAAAGAACTAGGAAGGACAATCATCACATAATGTAATACCGTCTGATGTCGGTGCTAAGAAACACTGTGACACAGATTTTATTTTCACGTGGTAGAGCGATGCTGCAGTTATATTACTGATATAGTTGTAGCACGAATAGGTCGGCTCGATCGGAGAAGGACCATACTCTCACTGAATACCAGCGTAAAATAGCAGCTTAACGCTGCTGTGGATCGTAGGATTAGTGTAGTAGTAGAGAACCGGATACCCTTCTTACCATCAGGTGGACTATGTGCTCGTTTGTATGTATCTTATATATAAATAAAAGAACTATAAAATTATTTTGTTCTTTGAAATTGAATTTTTAATTAGTTTTAGTTGGTTTCTACATTATTTTAAAGTTAAATATTTTCCTATGTTTATTATTTCCACAATGTCCAATTTTACTAATTTAGTAAGCAAGAAACATTTTGTATAGATAAAAGAAATTTGTCACAAGTAAGAAAATCAAACTAATAAAAGAAGTATAAGGGAGTGAATCACTGAATCATAACTGAGAGGAACTAGAAAGAGGTGGGAATGCCATAAAGCTGCGACAATAGAGCTCAACATATTTTCGCACAAGGAATTTAGTCTTTTTACGTCCCGCACACATACAAATACATAAAAATGAATGGCACAAACGCAAATAAATTTTATTCTCGCAAATGAGTGTCTCGTTCAACTCGAGTCTATTACATCGGCCAACGAAATTCGTGGAGGAAAGCAAAAAACTCACAGACAACAGCAATGACATTTATCTAATTACGGGATCGCGATAAGGGCGCATGAGAGGGGAAGGTAGAGGGTGTTTCAGGAGGGGGAGGGGAAGGATTGCCTTTGAAAGCTGTCCCGCAGTTAGCTCGAGGCTCTTGCGCGAAACTAACGCCTGCGTAGACTGCATTGACGCTTAACCTCGCTCGCGAGTCGAAAATATTTTATTAACTTTTTGATATGGTGATTGCTTGAAAACTGCACAAGTTTTTAGATAAAAAATAAAAAAAAACTTACGGTGTGAGAGTGTTAATTTAGGAGATTGTGTGTATAAAAATACTATGGATTACATGTTTCAATAAATAATGTGAAACAAATGGATGATTTCCTATTTTTCGGTGCTATGAATATTTAGTTATCTTGCAACATGACCGTTCTTCTAGTTTTTGGTCTATTTATAGGTATGAAATTTAAATAAGAAAAATAGAATTAAATAAATATTTATTAATGTCTCGTATAGATTAATTAAAATATAAAATTATCATCATCATTACAGTCTATCACAAGACCATAGCTTAGCGTAAGACTCCCCATAGATTGCCTCACAGGAGGGGTCTGCGTTTATCACAGTTTAAGCTTCAATATTAATGAGTAATTATCAGGAAGCCCATCTCCGCTTCAGATTCCCTCTGTCGCCCATTACGACACCCACGGGATGTTATGAGGTAGTGCAATCTCTTTCGCTACCCCACCACTACGGGGCATAAATTTACGATTTCCATTTATATACTTATATCATAAATAATTGATAATACTCGTATTTATGTACATTTGCAGTTCGATCAATAAGGAACCTAATCAACATTTAAGATTTAAGTTAACAAAATAGTTTTCGTTAAACATTTAATTTATCGTAAATAATATTTTCTTATATGCATTAAATACATAAATTTAATTACTGTTCTAAAACTTAATACATGGAGTCAATACAGTGGGCTGTTAAAATAATTTTAATAAAGATTATTAATATATTAAATTAAAATAATGTTTAAATAGTCTGTTTTGATATTAAAATTTATTGATTATATTCGTTCATATCCAATTTCTAATGTGCAGGTGTCTTTTTCCTTAAGTATTGTCAAGGATTCGAATACTTTAAAAATAAATTACAGAAATAATTCGGAAAAGGTATTTTCATCGGGTATAATATATTTAATTATAATAGTATGTACCTATCTTTGATCAATATGTAGATGGATTATGAGAAAGCGTTTGGTTCCGTCAAAATTTGGGCGCTGCTGCAGTCCCTTCAGCGGTGTCATTTTGACTGTCGGTATATCGAAGTGTTGAAGTGTTTGTACAGTAGGGCTACGATGGCTATCCGAGTACAGAACCAGAGTACGAAACCTATTCAACTGCAGAGAGGTGTAAGACAAGGTGACGTAATATCCCCAAAACTCTTCACCACTGCATTGGAAGACGTTTTCAAGCTACTGAACTGGAAAGGATACGGTATTAACATCAACGGCGAGTACATCACTCACCTTCAATTTGCCGACGATATAGTCCTTATGGCAGAATCGCTGGAGGACCTAAGCACTATGCTCAATGACCTCAATAATGTCTCCCAACGGATAGGTCTTAAGATGAACATGGACGAAACAAAGATCATATGTAAAGTCCATATCACACCTATGGCGGTAGTTGTTAGGAGCACTAAGCTCGAAGTTGTTGACGAGTATGTTTACCTGGGTCAAATAGTCCTAATAAGTAAATCCAACTTCGACCGATTCAACTCGGCTGGGCAGCGTTGGGGAAATTACGACACATATTGTCGTCAGGTACCTCAAAACTTGAAAACGAGATTGTACAACCAGTGCTTGTTGACAGTGATGACTTATGGACCTAAGACATGGTCCTTCGCTGGTCGTATAAGGAAGCTCAAGGTCACTCAGCGAACTATTGAGAGGGCTATACTAGGGGTTTCCCTGCGTTATAAACTTAAAAATGAGGTTATCCACAGTAGAACGAGACCAACCGACATAGCCCATCGGATAAGTAAGCTGAAGTGGCAATGGGCCGGCCATATAGCTCTTACAATCGACAACCTCGGCTGGCAGCCTCGTAACGGTAGGCGTGATGATCTAGTAAGACATGCAGGAAGTCGATGGATGCAAGTGGCTCAGGGTCGTGCTTTGTAGCATTTTTTTGGGGAGGCCTATGTTCAGCAGTGGACTGGTGAACGGCTGTAATGATGATGATGATGTAGAAATTTGCATGAATGCTCTCCTTTTGAGTGGATATCAGACAGATTATGTTAAACTATCACTAGGTTAAACTCTACGAAGGTTACATACATCGCACTTAAGAGGTCTTAGGATCTGTGTTCAGAAAGCATCCGTGACTTCCATCGCTGTGCGCAACGTACTAACGTCTGTTTTAACTAACACTCTCGCAGTGTTATCACAAAAACTTTAAAACACTTTCGAGCAATTACCCTTCTCGTTGTCCCATTAATTAACATTCAAAACCCACGGCTTGATTGTGCGTTACATTATAGGTAATATAATAAAAATAATAATTTTAAATTTTAAATAACCGACTTCAATATAAATTATTAGGAATAACTTAAAAACTATTAGTCCAACCTTGATCAAACTTATATCAGACCACATGAGAAGCACCAGTTTTCAAATAAAAAAGAATCTTTGAAATCGATTCACCCAGAAAAAAGTTATAAAAAAAAGTAACGAGTTAACACACATAAAAAAATACAATCTAATTGAGCACCGTCTCCTTTTTGAAGTCGGTAGAAAATTTATTTCAAAAATCGATACAGAAAAAAATGATTTCTATGGTTTTTTATAATTATAAGCTTCTTAAGTCGGGGACAAGATTTTTCGAAAATGCTCTATGTAAAACATAGCACCGGCTTCAAAAGCTAGACCTTTCATTATTCACTCAATTTTTGTCTTTAAAGTTGCTTCTATTTTCTTTTTGAGTGGAATTTAGCAATAGCTCAAGGGAACAACTAGAATGTCGTCTAAATAGTAACATAAAAATTTCATCCCCTATTTTCAATACTTAAAGGTGAAATTTATTTCTGATTTTAAGGATTTGCCCTTGAGATATAGCCTATTTATAGAAAATATAATAATTGAAATTGGTTCATAATTTACAAAGACATCAGGTGACAATCGCTACAAAATTAGAGTTGAATTTAGTACCTCCTTTTTAAAGTAGGCAAAAAATAAATAAGTAATTTTTGTGACGTTAAATAAGAAGAATTAGAATATCAATACATTCGGATCAAATTTATCATCATTTAGAACGATTCAAAACTACAATCACATTAACTGCCTTTGAAGTAATCGACCAAACTGACAATATATTGAAGATGGGCAAATGTTAGAAGCGAGAGAAGTATGTCTGGATCATGCCAAGTCTGTATTCTCTGCGTACTTCTTTGGTTGACGGGCGTGAGAGTTTATTTATGTATATTATGTAACTGGCTTTTCAATCTATACTTCTCCAATAATGTGCCGGCTGGCAAGCATTTCTTGGGAGATCTTCTACGTGACGGACTAATACTCCAGTTATATCATAGTTATATCACGAATAGATCGTTTCTACCGGGGAAACATCATGCTCTCACAAAATAACAGCGCAAAATAGCAGCTTAATGCTGCTGTGTTTCGAATGGTGGGTTTAGAGAACCGAAGACCCTTTTCACTGAAAACGAGGCATTCCATCTTAGTCTCAAGGGATGACAACGTATTCTCATTTTGATTCTCAATCGAGGATAGATGTAGAAGTCCATGGGCCACAGCTTCCACTTAACAACATATCAGGTGGATTTTATGTTCGTTTTTTAAACTAATACTATAAAAAATATATGGACGTAGTAGGTCTTTCCAATAAAGTGCCAGCTGACAAGCGTGTCTTAGATTTCTTACCCATAATTGAGAGGTGTCTGAGCAGGTGGTTTGGTGAGCGCCTGACTCCGCGGGATATGGAACTCTACGGGGTTCTGGCTCAGCGTTTTGGATGAATTTTTTGTCATTTTTTGATTGCCAGAATTTCGTCTGTTGATAGGAAGTTTAGTGTCAAAATTAGTTTATCATTTGGAGTACAGCCCAATTATAGCTAATAATGTTATTAAATACTTAAGATGAACACTCACGCCTGTCACCCAGACGGGTAGGCAAAAACTACGGGATTCCGTTTGGCACGATCCTGACACTCTCTCGTCTCCTCTGTGTCCATATACCTCCGCATATGTGCTTGTCTTTTATGCGTACTCTTAATCTGGCCCATCTTCAATATATCGCCTACTTCGTCGATAAACTTCCATCCAGGGAGGTCCTTGCCGACTCTGACGTTAACTTATGCAACATAAATTAGCTTCGTTACGCATTTTTCACTCATTCTTTTCAAATTACCAAGCCACGAGAAAGCATTCCTTACTTAATCCTGGTCACAACATCCTCTTGGAAGGTACACTTTTCTCTTTACACAATTTTTCACCCTGTCACTTATAGTTTTATCCTTCAATTATAATAATTTCTATTTATAGTACGGTATTTTTCTGGTCTAGGATACACATAGTATGCAAATGAAGGATAGTCATGCTAAAGTTAACTAACCTGCATGTATTTAAACCATCTTATAAAAAGGAGGAGGTTCTTTTAATTGACTATATGTTATTTTTGTTTATATTTTTTACTCCAATTTACGAAGTTCTTTTTTTAATTAGTAGTTTATCTTTCATGGATTATATTCAATATATATTTGAAAAAAAAAGCTCAACCCCAAGCATGTTTTGTGAAAATAGGGGACGAAATTTTATATATAACTATCGAACTTGTGATATTTCTCGACCAAAGGCGACAAAATTGAGACTAGGGAACTACGAGTATCATCTAGAGAAAAATTGATCACTTAAATAGTATACATTAATACGATCCCGTATGGCGGCAATAGAAGAGAAATCACCACCCCATTTTATTCCTTGTTTGTCTTAAGAAACGAATCGGATAACGTCTCAAGCGGCGACTAAGACAGAACCTTTAAAGTGTTTGTAGTATCAAGTAGATAAAAATATAATTATATAATATTGATATCACGTATAATATTTCCAGACCAGCAACGGAAAACAGTATCGAATTTGCAAAAAAAAAACTGTTATTGTTGTTACCAATCTGCTTTTAAATTTGAAGACAGGCTGATGACTAAAAAAATATTTATATGATGGTCGTAATTACTAAATTCACAAAATTAGTAGTTTACGCGTTATTGCTTCAGAAGTCGGTGCCAAGACATTACTTATATAAATAAGTATTAAAACCTCGACTTCAGAAGTTGTTATGTAGAATTTAATTAATTAAATTCTTTTAAGTTCATTTTTACTCTTTTATTAGTCTCCTTTATTCTTAAGCGGACTAAGAACATCACAATGAAA